AAAAGTAACTTAGCTTGTCTAATATTGCTAAAAGCAAGAAAGTTTAATATAAATATAAGAACAGAAAACAATTTATAAACAATGTACACAATTCTTACAACAAAGTTCTTAAAGCTAAATACTATATTCTAAAGCCAAATAACATACTATCAACCTGTATAGGCTATAGTCTAAGAAATCGATCATATCACTTTAAGCACTGCTACTTTAATGTAACAACACCACTATACAATATATAAGTAGACTGTAAAAAGAAAATTCACTTAGATATTGCTAATTTCAAAAAGGCATTAAACTATATTATATTAATAACTGTAACTAAAAGCAAATACAAGATGTAAATCCAATACTAGAAAGACCTTTTTGTTCTTTTGAAAACCCTCCAATTAGCCTCTAGAAAATATTAACAAAAGCTAACTTTATTATTAAGATATTAACGATTCACTTAATCTTCAACTAGCAAATAATAAACAACAATTTACAAATAATAGCAAAATGTTATATATAAAACACCAACACCTGCTTTGGTTGCTTTACTAATCATTGGCCTTCATATATAAGCATGATGCTTAATCTATTAAACTTCATTCTTACTACAATTAATTCATATACAGAAGTAAACCTCTGTATAGACAATCCTACTTTCACTAATTTTATTACTTGATAACTTTTACTAAGATTTATAACTATTCTGTACTAGACAAACAGCAGCATATATTTCTTCTTCTAATCCTAAAAGCACTTTTATATAATCAAAACTCCACATTACTCTGGACCAAAATATAAAAATTAAAAAAACTACAAGCATAATTTGCCTATTAGACTCAGCATCACAATGCTTTCTATATAACTGTTTCATCTTAAAACTTCTTAACAAACCATGTAAATATTTTTTAAAAACTATTTTAAAATATATACATCAAATTACAAATTGGCTGTCATGGTTTTACCAACAACAGATTTTAGACTAATACATATCACAAAACAATATTGATTGAGCTTTTACATTAAAATACATTACTTATAAAGAAAAACTACTAGCTTTAAATACTGACCCATTATCTTCAACAATTAAGAATTTCAAGATCAAACTGTTATCGGAAGAACTTTTAACTTATCTACTACTGCATTGGAGAAATGACAAAAAATATCCAAACTACTTATGTTCTAAATGTTATAGTGTCTCTGAGAACATTGTTTATCTATTAACTTGCATTCAGAATTATATATAGTTTTCAACTCTAATTAGACAAACAGTATACAAAACTTCACAAAAATTGGAAATACTATGTTTGCACATAGATGCCTTTGTCAAAGCATTTGTCACTATACACATAACTAAGCAAATACTATTAGGACTTATTACTAAAGACACATTAGCTCCTTTTAATACAAATAGTTACAGATACAAATATACTCTACTAATACATCATAATATTATTACTGCAATATACAAAACAATTTGGCTTATTTCTAGAAAGTCAAATCATGATCTAATTCTTCCAACTTCTGTCCCAATACAGGCTCTGATATTAAACAAAACTAAGCTATTGGCTTCATCTTTTATAGAAAGAAAACTAATTAGATATATAAACAATAAATAATCTTTTTTAATACATCTTCTTGAAAACTAGAAGTTTAGTAACTATTTTAGTAAAGAATAGATCGAAAATAAAGTAGCTTTTATCTCCATCTTTCCTAATATAGTTTTTTTATATGTATTCATCTTATATATATATAATTGACTATAAATAAAAAAGATAAAGGATAGACCTTTCTTTTAAAAAAAAAAAAAAATTTATAGACAATGTTTGAATATAGAATCAAAATAAGAGAACTCATAGATATGCAGTTACAAAAAAGAAATGATATTAGAATAAATAAAGTAGACTTAATATATCTAAGCTAGCTAATAGATACAAAAGAAAAGAAATTAATTATATGATAACAACTAAAAAGCCATCAGGGTCTATCAAGTAAAGGACAAAAACAGAATGATTCAAAAAAATAGAACTAGAAGTGCTCATTAGACCAGAAAATAGAGAAATTAAAAGTCAATTTAGAATAATTAGGTAAAATACTTAAGTAATGTAGATAAGATAGAAGTATATCTCAGAAGACAAAAGAAGAAAAGAATAGGTAGCATATAGTGTACAGAACAATTAACAGTTAGAAAAGATAGTCAAGAAAAAAAAAAATACTAGTAGAACATTGGCAAATGCAAAGTAAAGAAAGTAAAGAAAGTAAAGTAGTTATCAAAATTAATAGATGTAAGGATTATACAAGAGAAAAAGAATACTAAGAAGATAGTTGCCAATAGTAGATAAGAGTAAATAATAATATCAATGTAATTTCAGATGCATTGATAAAAAAAAATAGCAACAAGATCAAGATAATGATAGAACAAATAACAGAAATGATAAAAACAAACAAACCAGTAATAGAAGAACAGAAACTCGAAAAACTAAAAATAATAAAAAAATTAAAAGTAGAGATAATCAGATGACAAAAGTTAAAAGACAGTATTAGTTAAGAAATAATAAAAGTTTTAAGAAAGAATATAACAAAAAATAAGAACAAGTATATAATATATACAGATGAAATAGCAAACTTGAAGACTAAAGAAGATACAAAAAACAGAAATAGTATGAGCATAAGGTGGGTGCAAATAGATAAAACACAAGAATAGCCAGAAGAAGAAATGGTATTAGGTCTAGAAGAATGATAAACATCAACAATAACTAAGTTAGTAACAATATAAGCTGTAATTTTAATGATATTAAAAGAAAACCAAGTAAAAATATATACAGATAACAATATGACAATAAGAAACATTAGTAAAAGTTTAGAACAAGTATGCAGAAATAAGATCTTCAAAAAGAAAAATGCAATATAGGTAATGAAAATTAGAGAACTTATTATAACAAAGAATATTCAAATAGACTTTGTTAAAGTTAAGAGTCACAGTAAAGATAGATAGAATAATAAAACTGATAGTCTAGCAAAAAAAGATGCAATGAGTAAAGAGATAATATAGATTGAAAAAGTCAGTTACAAAGAAATAGAGTACTACTTAGAGTGGAAAAACAAATATACTGATATACTAATAAGACTGTTATGCAAATTAATAATGAATACAAGATTAAGAGCAGAATAAAAAGAAATAAAAGTAATTAGAAGATTAGAACCAAAAACAGAAATTATAATTTATGATTGAACATACTTTTAGAATAGATTAAAGATATCTAAAGGAGTATACTGTACAACAAAAAGAAGTAACACCAGAAGAAGTGCATTTATAAAATGCATAATGAATAAACTTTTAACTTTAGAAGAACTTAATAAAAGAAAATCAGATATATATATAAAAACAAAGTGTCAAGTGTATCAAAATAAAACAAAAGAAATACAAGCACATTTGACAGCATATAAGAAACAAAGGAATTTGTAGAAAAGAATCCAAAAGTAATTATTACAACAGTCTAAAAGAGATTAAAGAAAAAAGAAAAAGTTTGGATCTTCTTATATGTATTATATACAGTGCTTTTTAGAAAAACAGAAGTAGAAGAAATTAAAATAAGAGAGACACTAATTAAAAGTTTTATTCCAAAAGAAACACAGAACAGATTAAAGCAGTTCTTAAATATAAAATCAAGACAACAGTTTATGAATGTAATAGCAAGAACAGTCTGAAATACATTTTATAAACAAGTATGAAGAATCTGATATAAAAAGATCAATAAATGAGAAAAAAATGAAGAAATAATAGATAGAATAAAAAGAAAAAAAGAAAAAAAGAGAAAAACACTAAGTAAAAAAAGAAAACCAAATCAGCAAGTAATAGAAAAAAGAAAAGAAAAAATAAAAGAAAAAGAAAAACAAATTGGAAAAAAAGTACAGAAAACAATTTTAAAGTTTGTTATAAAAGAGAGAAGACCCTTTCATTATAGACTTTAAGTAGTTAGATGAGTAACTTACTTCTGCTTGAAGTAATATAGCAGGTTGCACTTAGGTATCATTAAGGTGGCTGGGTAATACTGGGCTTAGTTGTTAAGGATATTTATGTAATTGCAAATGTAATTTCAAAATCTTAATAAAACACTAACATGACTGCTTAAGAAAAAAAAAAAGAATTAACACCAAACTATCACAAAATAACACAAAAATTGACTTTATTATCACAGAATTTCACAAAATATATAAAAAAAACAGCACATTACATCACATAATTTTTCTTAACTACACACAGAATTTGGTTTTAGTTACAGCAGAAAATTATTATCTCTGGCCTGACAAACAGCTTCGGACATTAACAGTACCTATTTTCCTAGTAATTATAAACCTAACCCATTTTATGACTTTAAAAAAAATATCGATTAGTAAAAGTCTGTTAGTGCTACTAAGGTAGTTCTATTTAGTAATATAACCAATAATAAAATAACTTTCATGTTTTGATTACAATCAAAGCCACTACAAAGAGACTGCTGATGTTACATGACTGATCCTTCACCCGGTGTGCAATACATAAAAAAATTATTTTACAATACTAGATCATTTCTCTAGTACATGTTATGATTATAATCCAACACCATTTTATTATAATCATAACATGTACTAGCGGAATCATAGAGTTTAGAACACAGGGACATGGGGCATGCCTATGGGCATGCCTCAAGTCCAAAGGGCATGTCCTTGTCATTAATGTTTAAAGTTATTTTAATTGGCTAATAAGTTTAGGTAAACTAGAACTGTAGATACTAAATCAACAAGTAAGATTTTTAAGAAGTTGTGAACTATGTGTTAATCACATGATTTAAAAAGGGCATGCCTTAGCTCAGGGGCATGCCCTGAACCCTACGGAATCATCTAGTATTGTAAAATAATTTTTTTATGTATTGTCAATCAACAAATTTAGTAACATCTATTGCAACTATAGCAAAGTTTTTACCAACTCAGAACACTATATACATACTTGTTAATTAGATTTTATCAATTAAAAAATGTCTGGTTCAGGAAAAACCGAAGATACCTCAATTAGTAGAAGTGCTTCAAAACGTAAAGATACCCTAGAAGATCAAAATACACAAAATGATTCAGATAATCAAGAGTTTCTACCATCTGAATTGAAGGATTTATAATTTATATGAAAAGCTAAATCCAAGAATGAAGTGAAAATATAATGAGTTATCAAATGTAAGTTAGAACGTGAAAAGAGTGTAAGTTTACTTAAAAGTCATATTTTTATTGATTGTTTTTTATTTATTTATTTATATTAAATCAGTGTTAGCTTTTTCACTGATATTTTTTTCCATATTTTTAGGAACTTGAAATAAGTTCAATATTCAATGTGATTTGCAAAATATATTAATGATGAAAATTCTACTATAATTTTATTGTTACTCTGAACAGTGTTATATTTGGGACCCAACTTTTTATTTTACTTTAAAATTGTCGAGAGAAGCTTTGTTTTTCAATAAATATCATGTAAGTATATTATTTCCAACATTTATTGAAATAATATTAGCAATATTTCTAGGAACGTTTGTTATTTCACCAGCCATAGCAATTTCATGGGCAGGGATTGGTGTTTCAATTTCAACCCTAATTTGTAATGTTAATTCATGCTATTTTTTTTCTAATAATGTAATTCATTTGCACACAATGAAAAATATTAATATGATCCGGCGTATAAAAATTTGCATCCAATTTATATATTATCAAAATCATCAATATAGTTATTTCTTCAATTAATTGCAACTTTTGGTCAAAATCAAAATTACTTGGCAATTTTAAATGCCTTTCTCCAAAACTTGACTATAATTATGAAGTAATTTTTTTTAAATGCACCTTAAAAGTATATTATAGACTGACAAAAAATTTGTATATGTGCCCGAATATGCAACTTGAGTTATTTTTATCAGGTTGAAATTTAGATCGTTCAAGAGTTTTTTAGAACCGTACTATTATTATGCCAGTTGCTCGCATAATATAAGCTTTTGATAATCATCATATCTTATGAAATTGGCCCCAGGAAAATGATTGTAAATGTCAATTACCATTTTCTGTAAATGGCGTGCCATTTAGCTTTAAGAGAGAGGAAAGCATTGCAAAGTAAAATTGTCGACACTGAAAATAAGTCTGGTGCATTCTACAAATATATGAATTTTGGATCGATATCGTAATTATATATATATATATATTGCTATAAATTACATGTGAGTTGCAATTCTTTATGGACCATAACTAATTATTATTATATGTAAACAGATCGGAGTTGTCACGTTTACTATATTCTATTGGTGTATAATTCCCTATTCAATTTTTTTTTTTTTTTTTTTTTTTTAATGTTAAAGTCCCTATCTTCTCTATTCATTTTTTTAATTTTCTATTGGGAATTTATAGTATTAAATTTTATTAATTAAATATAAAAATATTTAAATTTATTATTTTACTAATGCTCTAATAATATATATCTAAATAATTTAAATTATTAATAAAAAAACACTTTTTTATATAAAAACAAAAAATTGAGCTTTTGTTCTATTGTTCTATTTGCCAACACTGATATTGCTCTAAGAGAATTAATTACCTGTAAAAAATAAAATGTGGGGTAATTGGTAAGCATTAGTCACCCTGAATCTAATACATTCGTCTTATTTTAATTGATGTCTTAAATTTATATTTATTTTAATTAGGGATATGCCAGTGCAATGCGGAAAGAAAATCCACGAAGTGCACGACGACCTGATTATATATTCATTGCTCAATTGAATAGCAATAAATTCAGAAATTGTATATGCTGAAATAGGTCGTCGAATTCCGATAAACAAAAACAGGAAACGGACCATAAAAAGTTGGCTCGTAATGCGGAAGATTCGCTTGAGCTTATAAGAAAACAACTTAAGCAAGCATCAAAAAGAGTACACTGAGCGAACTGTTGACAATATTTTCTATTAATGTTGCTGATAAGTGTAGATTTATTTCTTAAAAAAAACTTACAATGAGTCAATATTCTTAACGAGTAGCTTTATAGGCGATGAATTACAATTATATGGTATGCGCAAGGAAGATGGAATCAACAGGAGGAAACGTTGATGTTACACAATTGATTTTACACACGGTGTGAAACACAAAAAATTTTTTTACAATACTTGAACAATCTTGATCAGTCAGCTAGTAGATGTTATGATTATAATCCAACACCATTTTACTATAATAAAAATGGTGTTGGATTGACTGATCAAGATTGTTCAAGTATTGTAAAAAAATTTTTTTATGTGTTTCACACCGTGTGTAAAATCAATTGTGTAACATCAACGTTTCCTCCTGTTGATGGAATCCTGCCTACTCGCGAGGGCAAGGATTCCATTACATTCTGTCATAACAGCAGATATTCTTTATGATCTTGTTGTTTACTGCTAACTTTAAGAGTAAGTGTTTTAGTTTTTATATAATTAAACATACAAAAATATTCTTATCGAGTTGTAGACGGCGCTTATATGCACGTTACAAAAATTACTATTTTATTTAGGTAAAAAGAATAAGGATGAAGAATGTAGTTCTGACGATGCAACAACATCAACCATCAGTTCTCCACCACTTCCTTCATCAAAAACAAGAAAGGCAAGTGATACAAAACCCCTTTACGTGACGAAGGAAGATTAAACAAGAAAAAGAAAAAGAACAGGAATTTTCGGAATTAATCCAAATCTTGATTTTTTTTTTACCTTGCGTACTACTTTTTCTAATGTACAGTATCAATAAAGCTGGCCCTGGTGGTTGATTTCATGAATCTATTTTATTGCATTGTTACCGATATTTATATTATATCTGATTGAAACTTTTTTTGATAGAGCGTATCATAGTGATATAAACAATGAAGATTTTATATGTTCATGATGTTTGGTGTTGTGATAAAGGGAACAACGTATGAATCTGATTTCACAAAAAAGACTTAATGCACTCTTTATTAATTAAAAAATCATTGATAATTGAAGAAAAAAAGAAATCACCTAGACGATTTCTGATTTCTTTACATAATTACATATGGAAAGATTGGTCGTTAGAAAATATACTAAGTCTCATGTAACGTTAAGATTTAATCTTTGGTAAAATCAATTTCAATCATTTCCCTGCAAAATTCACAAAATTTTGCAAACCACAATAAATCAATCCTTAAAACGAATAATGCTGTACGTGCATAACTAAATTCAAACTCTTAAATTTATAAATTAACATTGGTGTTTGTGTGAAATTTTATTTATTCAAGAAAACTATGTATTTTCGTAGTATATTTCAGTTAAGTATTACCAAATGAAACTATGAAATTAGATATATATATTTTAAATAATAAATGTGACGTTTAACTATCCATTAAATTTATTTAAATCAAGTAAACATATATATATATTATTAGTTGCAATAAAATGCTTTAAAATGAGTATTTATGAATAAATTTTTAAATTGTAAACAGGTAAATAATAAAGTACAGTATAAAAGATAAAAACTTTTTAACTTAAACACCGAAATTTCATCTTCATGTTTCATCCTTTAATTTTATGATGCCTAATAACGGGTTGTTCACCATACAAAAATCTAGACATATATTTCATAGCTCTCTGCGCACCACCATTTCTTGATAAAGGCCACACAATAGCATAATTATGCATGTTATCTTCTTCGATCAAAAGTTCTGCACTGACTTCTTGACTTCTAGCCTTTTCCACGAATGACACTATGTCATCGAGAAATACTTCGTATCCACCAACACATATCCACACTTTGGGTAAACCACGTAGACAACTTTCGAATAACGGGGATATTAGAGGGGATGTTGGATGAACGTTAGTGTTACCTATGGTGCTTGCCAAGCTGTAATAGAACCATGGCTCACTTATACAGTCGGCGTCATAATTTGTTTTGAATGTTTGTGAAACGGTGAGTGCCTATGATATAAAAGTATTACTAATTTGATACAATAATTATTATCATGATAGCGATAAATGATATTTGAAAAGTAATTTACCGAAACACAAGGTGAGATAAGAAGCAAGCGCGATGGTAGAGGTGTATTGTAAACTGTCGGATTTTTAAGAAGCTCGAAGGATGATAACAAAGCCATGTTTCCGCCTGCACTATCACCGGCTAATAATTTAATCATAACGATAATTTATGAATTAATAATGTTACGTAGTAGGATACATAACAGATAATAGGATTAAAACTATTTTAAACATACCCAAAGTAATCTTGGACGGGCTAATTCCTTTCTCGTTGACTAACCATTGATAACATTTTAACATGCTGTCACGGTGAGACGGAAAGGCATTTTCCGGCGAAAGGCCTATGATGATAAACTATCGTTGTAAAAATCCAACGCAATTGAAATTGAATTCTGAAACGTTAAGAATTTTATAACACGTACCATATTCTAACGATACTATGTGCGTATTGGCCCCATGACTAATTTTCCAGGCTTCAATCCATCTCACAAAAATTACCAGGGATACTAAAGCTTGACCAACAATATAACCACCACCTACAACATTACATAGGTTGTGTTAAAATATTTTTTTAATAAAGATGCAACAATTTATGAAATATTACCATGTGCATATAAAATAATCATGTCGGCATTTTCTCCAACATCTTCTGTTTTTGCATTTTCTGCGATCAGATACCCATCCCATCCATCCCCACCCTTCAGTCGACGGCACCATTTATTTCTTTGTTCTCCCATATACATTCCATTTTCGATTTGTTCCACGACACCTGTAAAATTGAATATAAGTCTAACCATCCATAATGGTAAAATTTCAACGATGGTTTTGATGAGCGTTGCCGCTAATCTTTGCCCTAAATCTGGTGCCGGTTGACTTTGTTTGAATATTGAAGTTGAGAGGTATAATATAAACGCGAATGGGATTCGATAGCCTTCAATTTCAAAAAGGTTATATGCATTTTGGATCAAGTTATAGATATACGGTAAGCTTTTAATATCTCGAGTTTTACAAATTGATGTCTAAATTTTACATTCAAACCTCTTCTTTTTTTAACTCACATAATACAAAGACACAATAAAAACTAGCGAATACTGCGAATACTGCTTCCATTGTCTCAATTTGATGTAGGTCAAAGATGACAAAAGATATCCATCAAAATATATGTGTATATATATATTTAAAATCTTTGACTATCATCCTCTGTCCATATGAAAAGCATGAATGATAGTCTAACGATCGCATCTTGTCTTAGAATTTTCAACTGATACTGCATATGAGATATTTTGACTTTAGATAAAGATAATCAGAAATTTTAACTTACTATATATGTTAGATAGAAAAAAATATTTTTATATTACTCAAAAGAATTTAATTCTGCCGGTTTATTTAGATCATTCCTTTTTCTTTCTTTTTTTGCCGGGAGTTATAGTTTCATAAAGTTTGGTTTGTTACTTAATTGCCTTGCATTTCAGTCTTCAATTTTGGACAAACATGGCAATTTAATTAAATCTCGTGCCACTTCATTTTATTGCCAATTAGTGTTTAAGCATAGCTGGCTTTAGAAATCGTTGCCGTTATCAAAATCAAATCTTTCTCTCATGACATTTTACTATACCTTTTAAAAAATATGAATTATCGCTCTATCTTACCCAGTTAATAAGCTATAATGGTAGTTGCGTGACTAAAATTAATTAATAGTATTAGTAACCATTTGGGTAACTTTAACCCGGCTTAGAAAAGAATATCACAGGAACTGGAAACCAGTGTAAGTCTGGAGCATAAGTATCATATATTTCTAAAAATAAGTTATTTTTTTTGAATAATTTAATAAAAAAAATAATAATTTATTTTTTAAACATAATTAATTTTTTTAATTACCATAATAAGTGCTATATAGTAAGGTCAAAATGTCACAATTATATGCTACGTATTAAGTTATTCGGTAGATCAAAATACCTATATTCCAAAATTTTTATTATTTGATATATAAATTTATAAAAAAAATTTAATTGATTTTTTGAACATAAAATGCAAAAACATAGTAAAAAATTATTCGATCTGTATAAAAATGTCGGGGTACAGGTCACTCTGGATTTATTAATAAAACTCATGATAAAGCGGATCTTAAAAAATTCCTCACTATGTGCCCGAGGTACTGCATTATATCGAGAGTGACGTGTATATGTATTTTGGTCTCTTGAGCAACTTTAATTAATAGCATATAATCGATTTACTTAATAAAATTTTGACTTCACTATATAAAAACGTGGAGTGACACCTGGAAAATACCAAACCTATTTTTTTTAATATTTTTAATATAAATGAATCAAAAACGAATTTTTGGTTATCAAAAGGTGCAAAGTATAAGTCTGTCACTTTACTTCAGACAATTATAAGATCTAATTCTCGTCCGTTTAAAAAGTTAGTATAGTAATAAACGGAGTCCTACAGCTCTAATGAAACCTTCTATATAGGTTTTTTTTTTTTTTTATGGTTGGTTTTCATTTTTTTAAAAGTACTCTAAACTGTATAAATACAATTGTAAGTGATTGACCAATCAAAAGAAAGTTAGCCTATAAGGCATGACGTATCCGGCGATCTTTTTATTAAACCGAATTTAAAGATCTATAACCGGAGGTAACGATAGTAGTAATCAGTTATGTAAGAAAGTGTCAAAATTCTTGAACAAACGACTATCAAAAATTGCGCCGGAATTTTTCGTAATTTACTGGAATCAAGCCAATGGACATTAATAGCAAACATAGCTAGCGAAAATAGCTAGTAAAATTAGCATACTAAAATTTATTATGAATTAATATTTTAAAAATATGCTTATAATTTGAGAATGAACGTTCCACATCTACACTCAAAAAAGGAATCTAAATAAAAGCTTTAATTAATTCAACATTAATACTTTGTTATAGTACCGGAACGAATTCAATACAATACGCCATGTAATACACCATGTAATACACCATGTAATTCAGTAATTATAATTAGAACACAATATTCGTTCATATCGATATTGTTTTATACATTAAATCCTTAAAATTAAACAGGAGTTAGAACTAGTTCCTAACTAGTTCAGGAGATTGACAAATAAATATGTATCCCATGTGAACAGCAGATTACTATGCTGAAATTTTTATGACAGTCACATGGCAGATAAACTATCCCAGTAGCAAAACATACATTTTTGACACTTCTACACCTACTTTTTGATATATCTAAACATACAACAAGGTTGCACGTTGTTACGTATAGTAAAAGTTAGTAAAAAGTGGGAAAAATATGTCAGATATAATTCATATTATCATTAAAGAATTCCTATTTGTACACGAATGTATATATAAAACCATTCTTGGCTTTTAACTTTGCACAATTTTGGCATAATCTATACTTATTCAAATTCAAACTCACATATACTCTAACTAAGAGCAATAATTTAATATTTTGTTTAAAAAATTAGTTTGTAATATTATACAAAGTTATAATTTAATAAATTATATACATTACATTGTATTAACAAAATTTTTTATTTTTTTTCTTATACTTTTTTTTATATTTTTTTTTGTATCTATAGTTTATTTTTTTCTTTTTTTTTTGTTTAATATTTTACTTACTTATTTATATTCTTTATTTACTCATTTGATTTACTTGTTTATATACATTTGTTTTCAAGTAAATAGCTTTTTAAATGCATTCTTTTTAAAATTTTTGTCTAAAGTATTTAATTTTAAAATAAGTAGCTTATTCTTTATACACTTGTGTTTAATTGCTGTATTTATTTAAGAATAAGCAACACATAAATTATTTTTATATAATTTTATATAATATATTAAAATTTTTATTTAAAATTAATAGATAACTCAAAAGAATTGTAACTTATTTTTAATATATAAGTCTAGTTTAATATCTTTTTTTTTAGTTCAAACTTAGTAGTCTGGTTGGTAGTACTTCTTATTTAGAAGTTTTTGTTTATCTGATTTCTTTATATTGGTATTTGCTTTCTAAATTTAGTCTTTATAGTAATATTATCAAAAATCTATATTATCTTTTTATTTAAAACTTTTTAAATAGGATTTAATTTTTATTAATTTTATAAATTTATATAATTACAAAAATTTATCTTATATAGGGTGTAACAACCTAGTAAAGTGGTCAGGTTGTCAACCTTCCAAGTAGTAGATTAGGTATTCAAATCCTATTGATAGCAAAAATTTAGATAATTATCTATATAATATTTGTATCATAGCAATTATTACTAATGATTAGGTTAGGATATCTGTAATAGCAATTATATCAGCATAACTGACAGGTTATGAAGGATCTATGCAATATTAGAGTTACACAGAGGAATGCAAACCAATAACTTGGCAGCACAAACATTATATAAGTTCTTATAGTCATGTAAATCTGTTGAAATTAGATAACAAGAAGTTTATTTGAAAAGATTTAAGTAAAAAGATAATTGGATCTTTAACAATACTACTATAAAGACTAGTCTGAGAAAACAGATACCAAGGTCTTAGTAATTAAACAGACAAGAACCTTCAGATTGAAAGTCTTAAAGATACTACCAACCAAATTGTCAGAATGAACCAGAGAAAAAGAATATTGTGTTGATTTAATATATCAATAGATTGGTTATAATCCCATATATATTATCTGAATTGGGAGTCTGATAAAATTTAGAGGTGGGATGTGGTAACCTAGTAAAGTGATTAGGTTGTCAACCCTCCAAGTAGTAGGTTGGGTGTTCAAATCCTATTGACAGCAAAAATTTAGATAATCACCTATGTAATATTTATATTATAGCAACTGTTACTAACAATTGGGTTAGGATACCTGTAATGGTAGTCACACCAGCATGACTGGCAGGTCATGAGGCATCTGTGTAAGTATGGCATTACACAGAGAAATGCAAACCAACAAATCAGGCAGTGCAAACACTAGATAAGTTCTTGTGGCCATGTAAATCTGTTGAAATTGGATAACAAGAAGTCCATTTGGGAAGACCCGAGTAGAGAGGTAGCTGGATCTTCGACA